TATGGAAAATAGCTTTTGCATCTCTAGATGATCTACCAATAACCCAGCTTAGAACATCCTTTATGGCCAATCAAGGCTTAAACCTACTGCCAAAAAGCCAAAAACCTAAGCCTGTGATGCTGTGGCAATTTCCCAAAAAAAAATTCGCGTACAACAATGGCAAATTGGTAACTGCAGATGGCCGAATGCCGAAAGCCAGTCCATGTGCAGATAAGGAAACACAGACGATGTGTAAATCATTTGAGCAAAACGTAGACATAATCTCGGCGTACGAGGGGCCATTGCGGGCCTCTGCACACGTGCCACAAGGCTTTTATTGTCTGTCTGTCTGAGAGTCCTCTCTGCCTGTGAGTCCTCCCTTTTGTCCCTCTCCGCCTGTGAGTCCTCCCCCTCTGCCCGGGAGTACTTCTTTTGTCCCTCCCTAAGCAAAGACCCTAAAAAATTCATAACATGTAGCGCCGCATATCCACGAAAATCCACACCCGAAGACGCCAGCGACAATGTGTTTGTGTGTTTGTGTGAGTGCGCCCATCATCAGCCATCAGCCACTGAGCCACCGCCATATCGCTGAGTGGCCGCCTTACGTGGCAATGCCATCGAGTGGGAGTGGGCGGGGGAGGAAATAAAAGTATCATTGCTTTTAGAGAGAGTCCTTTTCGATGGGCTCCTCGACCACAATAAAAAATTCGTATACCCATTATATATTTTTGCTGTCTGGAGAGCCCCCTCAAGGGGCAAGAGCAATCAATAAAAAAAAACTTGCTTAAACGAAATAAAATTAAATCTTTTTAATATGCAAAAGTGAATTGTTTTGTGGGCGACACAAAGCCAAAGAGTTGTTCGGTGCATCATAAACACTTCACAAAAAACAAACCACAAAAAAAAATCATTTTTTAGCTAAACTTTTGCAAAAATATTTATATAAATAGCTAAAGTGAACCCGACATAACTTTCCGGGAATTATAAATATATTGCGTCTACAATTCGGAGAGAGAGAGAGCTGGAAAACTTTCATTATGCAAAAGTTTTTTAATAAAAGTGCAAACACAGTGGCAGCTGCCCTTCGAACCCCACCACCCCACCCCCCCGCACCACACACGCCACATATGGGCAGGGCAGGACCGTTCGTTTATTAAAAGCAACAGTTTTTTGTTTTCTACGAGTACTCCTTGAATGTCTGTCGAATGAGAAATCAGCTGCTTTTATTAATAAAGCAAACATTTCCCACAATTACTCCTAGAAGTGGCGAAAATTTCCCATAAAAGGTAAAACGAAAAATCCACTTTTTCAGATAGCCAAGTTTTTAAATGAATTACAATTATTTTTATGGTTAGTGTTTTTTTTTAAAGTAATTTATGGTAAAGTTAATTTTTTTAAAATAATTTGTGCAGATTTCAAGTGCTAGGGGCAACCACGCCTAGTTTTAAACCATTCTGAAAAGCTAATGAATGCCGTTATTAATTAGCTTTAAAAAAGTATAGCTTAAGTTTATCGTTTCGGATTTATTCTAGTTTCCAAATCAAATTTTATCATATTTTAAGGTATTTTTTAACAAAATTTTGATTTTAAAAACTCAGAAAAATTCCAATTAAATTAAATGCTTGGTTTTGCGTATTCTATAGGTATAGAAACAATAGTTAGTAGTCGTTTAAGGTATCGTTTATAAAGATCTATGGATCAGCTTATTTATAATTGTACATATTTATTGACCAGAATCAACACAGGGCTTATGAGATTATTTGATCCTACCCCTTTCAGATCTGACTCTTCACATCAGAATATTTTTTTACGATTCTGGGAAAAAGGCTATATCTTTGTAATTTTGATATAATTTTGAAATTTACTTATTCTTAAAGATTTTCAGGACACCCAAAATTAATTCATTTCGGTCTAAATCTGAGCTAAACAGCATTAAACAGCATAATATTTTATAATTCTGCAAGTGCTCAAGAAACTATAAATCGCCTTGCGGAACAATGTAGGAAATATAATTAAACAATAAAATCTACAATCGATAGAAATCGGTCTTGTAAAAAGGCACCGCAAAACGGTCTGAAAGGGCCTACATATCTTATTAAACCATCATTGCCCTGAATTTTCAAACCCCTTGCCAAAATTTTCACCCATTTTGGGGCGGGTGGCAAACAAATGCAAATAATTACATCCCCTACTTAGAGGATGTTCGGTTGTGTCATTGTCATTGTCAGCGTCGTTGTTGTCTGCCAGCCTCAAATTAAAATTAATTAATTTTGTGGCAAACTTTGCCAGAAACTAGAAATTCTGGCCCACACATTTTCACATAATCATTGCCATTTCTCGCACACAAAAATCTGCAGTTCATTAAATATTATATGGCATATGTTTATGTCAAAACCGAGCCAGAGAATTGGGCCCAATAAAGTGGGTAAATGAAAATCATAAAAATAATAACTAAAATGTTTAATTTTACATAAAAAGTATATGAAACATCTGCTCAAAGGCCACCGGAAGTGGAGTTGCCACCAATATTACGTATACGCATGCACAGGGGAGACGGCAAATACTTTTTTTTTTGTATGCAAAATAAAGTACTTGAAAAGTCACTTAAAGTGTGTCGTCGGTTGCCCCCACTCTCTCTCGCTCTCTCTCATAAAAAGCGTAAAAAATGTTAAATGATAAATAAAATTTACAACCGCAACAACAAAGACGACAACGGAGCTGCCGCGGAGCCATATGTGTGGCAAGCAAAGAGAGAAGTTTTCCTCGAGCGAGCGAGCGACATAATAAAATGCAATTTAGACATCAAAAATACACAGTAAATGGAGCAAGAGTAGCGGAGGCAACTCGAAAGTGGCAGGCAGCAGGCAGCAGGCACCAGCTCGAAGCGGAGGAGCCACAGACAGAGCCGCGTGACTGACAGGCGAAAGGACCACACATCCGCGCGAGCAAACAGTGTCGTGCCACATAGGGACAAAGGACAAGCCAGTCAGCCAGGGGGGGGCAGGGGTAGGGGTAGGGGCAGGGGAGTCTGTGCGTGGCAGAGTCAAGAAGGATTGCTGGCAAGCAACAAATTTACTGTATACGATATGTTACTGGTTGCTCTTCTTGGGGCAGCCACAAATATAACTGGTTTCGTAGGGTAGGCTTTGGTTGAAATTCCCACTAGATCTTTATAAGGGGAACCCATTTAGTTCTCTTCTCTGTTCTCCAAGAAATACCATCTGGAAATCAGTGCAGTACATGCCAGCACGTAGCGGAACAACAAAGGTGTGCACTTAATTTAATTAGACCTGGAAGGTCCTCCTCTCTCTCCTGGCCCCTTAGAAAGCGTCCGAACTGTCGATGTAATGGCCTGGAAATGGCATTTGGCAGAGAGAGAGAGAGAGAGAGACCGGAAGAGCCTTTTGTGAAGATGAATTTCATTTCATTTAACACAAATTTCATTGTGTTTTGTGCGCTTAAAGTGAAATTAAATAAATGTGCTTGGCAAAAGGGTTGGAGTTGGGAGTCGCCGGAGTTGGCGGTTCATGTCCATGATAAATGCACCGTAAAATCACTGCTAAACAAGTATGGGCTTTATGATGGGCGTTTCGGCTGTCAGATACCCGTTAGTCGGTTATTGTCCAATACAAAGTTTTTTATTCACTCGAGAAAGAGCTGGAAAGTGAGCATTTCGAGTGCACTTTTGGGAGCTACAACTTGGAAAGAGCTTGAAAGTTCTTTCTTCGGGCTGTATTTTGATTTTTGATGAATTTCTTTGGATCTGTATATTATAGAGCTCGCAAATAACACCCAATATTTTCAGGGTGTTCAGTGGACGAAAAAAGGAACATTCGATTCTGTTTTTGTTCAAAATACTCTGCTTCACAATTTTATCTATTCTGCGTCGCTTGTTCTTTTTGTCTGTCTTTCTTGATATTGACGGAATTGACGTTTTAAAATTAGAGATTTTTTTTATGATTTTCTTGTATTTTTATTAAATTTTAATCCATTGATCGGGAGTGTATTTGTTTTTGTTTTTGGCACCCACTTTCGTCGATCACTGGCTGCCAAAGGGGCTTGCTTGGGCTTGAGAGATAAGCTCTGCAAATAAAACGAACGACTTCTTTTCTCTCGTTCTTCCCCAAGCACCATACAACGCAAACATCAGCATAGCGGTGTCAGCTTTTTTTCCATTTTGCATCCCTTTTTCGCAGACACTTCTGTCGATCGGAGGCTGCCAAAGGTGTTTTTCTTTTGCTTTTTCTTACGAGATAAGCATTGTAAAGTGAGCGGTGCTTTTTCTGCCGCTCTCTCTCACAATGCACCGAAATGAGCCGCTTATTGTGTGAGACAGACGTGTTCAATCGTGCCCTACCGAAGGCAAGAAACAGAGCACACGAAGTGCAGGTAGAAAAGGTGTTCGGGTCTGTGGGCGATAGGAGCTCGGCTGTGCTTGGTTTCGTTCTCGATCTCGTTCGCAGATCACAAAAAAAACAACATTTATTTGCGTTTATTTGCTAGCTCTGCTGCTGCTGCTGCTGGCATCATAGAAGAGATCGGGCGTGCTTGGTTTTCTGCCGTGTATTTTTTCGCTTTGTATACGAGGCTCGCATAGCTACCTATTTATCTGCCTTTTACATGCTCTTGAATCAACACAAGGCACCCCTTGTACAGGGTATCCTTAGCATAAAAAAAGAGACCTTCCCCCGCGCCCGTCTCCTGCTTCGTGTGTATTTCTGTTTCTGTTTCGTTTCGTGTTTGTATTTTAATGCAAATTGTTGTAATGTTAAATGAGTCACAAAATTGTTGTACAACGCATCACCGAGGATTAAATGAATTTTAAAACTCAAAACGGCATTGAAAATGGAAAACGAATTGCAGTGCTCTGCTCTGCTGAAAGCTGCATAACGACGTTCGCTTCGCTTTGGTTGCTTGCCGAGGCAGGGGGGCGACGAGTGGGGGGGCTGCATAATGTGCTTATAATTATAACAAAATAAACGTGTGCGCTGAATACAAAATGAGAGAGAGAGAGAGAGACTCTACCACCAGCTCTTAACCTTGTGCAGGACTGTCTTGAAGACGGGCACCTTGACGGGAAACGGCTTGGGGACCTTGATGGGCACGTACTTGATCACCTCGTACGGCACATGCTTCTCGACGGGCACGGGTATGTGCTTCTCCACCGGCACACCCACCACCCGCTCCACCGGCACCTTCAGCTCCTTCTCGACGGGCACTTGGATGGTCTTGGTGATCGGTATGTGTATGGGCACGGGCTTGCGGACGGGTATGATCACCGCATGGGAAATGGGTATCTTGACGGGCTTCTCCACCGGCACATGCTGCTTCTTCACATGCTTCACGGGCACATAGTTGATGATGTCCACATGATGCGAGTGCTGGCCGTGTCCCTGACCACCGTGACCGCTTGGCGACTCGGCCAAGTAGTTGGAGCTCTGCTCCTGGCCATCTCCGGGATGCTCTTCATAGTCATCGGCTGCCGAACCGCTCGTTGCCGAGGATGCCGAGCCAGAGGCGGATGTCTCCCCGTGGGGGCTAAAGTAGGTGGAGTGCTGCTGCTCCTGCTGTCGCTGCTGCTGGTAGAGCTCCTCCTGCCGCTGCTGGTAGAGCTCCTCCTGCTTCTGGTAGTGCGCCTCCTGCTGCTGGTAGTTCGCCTCCTGCTGCTGGTAGTTCGCCTCCTGCTGCTGGTAGTGCGCCTCCTGCTGCTGATAGACCTGCTCCTGCTGATGCCCCTCATAGCCGGAATGTGGAAGGAAATTTCCCATTGAAATTTTCTCGTACGCATACGGTTGTTGTTCCTCCGGCGATGATAATCCCCATGATCCATAGCCCCCAAACGCGGGCAGGAATCCGCCACCACCACCACCACCCCCACCAGCTGGATAATTGTAAACAGTAGACTGGGGCTGGTGCTGGTCATGGGCCGTGGCTGCCACAGCCGCCACGGCGGCATCCTCGTTGTGCTCCTCGTAAATCGGTGTCTCCTGCTTGGTGGGCGCCACTGAACCGTAACCGTTGCTAATGTGTCCCAGGCCCGATAGATTTGTGAGCCCATTAAGCACGGCCGTCAGGCCGCGGCCACCCTGATGGCTGCGACGCTCTCCTGCCCCGTGGCGGTGCCATCGGTTGTCATACAATGATGCCACATTGTTCCCATAGCTGGCCGGACTCCGGGCCATGGCTGTGGCACCGACAATCGTCAATATGGTGGTGGCGGCTGCTGCAATGAGCGGAAACTGCTGTTCGAGAACAAAAAACTTAAGAATGTTTAGAGTTCTTTCCCCCTCTCGTCTTGGGACTCACCAAATAAACCTTTGCCATTTCAGAGGGGGGTCTTGGAGCTTCCTGGACGACTGCTCGACTGCAGCACTGGTGGCAATGTGGCTATGTTGGGTCGCTTGCCGCGTTTTTATATGGCCAATAGGACAATGGCCAGGCTAGACCCGGCTCCAGCTCCAGCTCCAAAAAAAAGTGAGTGTCTGACCTCTCACTCTCTACCTGTCTCTGTCCCGCTCTCCCTCTCTTATTTTTGCATTTATGAATTAAGTTACGCGATCAATCCAACAGGAAAATGTTATGGGGGAAAAACCGGCTGCACAATAAAGTTCAAAGTCATTTTCCATGACCAACAACAGCCAACAGCCCCCAAGTACCCAAGGAATTGGTTTGTGCCTGCCACGCGCCTCCATCTGTGGCAGCTTCATTATGATTTCGCCACGATCACGATCGCCGGCCTGTGCTTCGTTTAGCGTTCCGTTGCGGCCTTCACAACACAAATAAACAGCCAGCCTGGAAGTCCGAGTGCCGTCGAGTGCTCCAGGTCTCGTCCGCCTCTTTGAGTGGCGTTCAGTCGAGTGTTCCCGGCTGTCCAGCCTCATCAGTGTCTCCCAATCGAGTGGAGTGGAGTGGAGTTTTTCTTATTTGTGGCAAGTGGTCCAACCGCTTTCGAGCCCACTCAGAGCAGGCTGGCGGACAGAAGCTGGCTGCTAGAACTGGACGTCCACAGGCCTACCTGGGACTTTAGGTTCCCCCAATGGAATAGGAGACCCTCAAAGACGATCGCCAGAGAAAAATGGTCTGAAATTTTCATATTTGCGAGGGATTTTTTTTTTGTAATTTCTTTTATTTTTATCGAAACGGAAATTTTTATTTAGAATAAAAAACACAAAAGATCTGAATATACCAATACACTAAGAAAAATCTTCCCATCTTCACAAAAATATGAATTTTTTTTTGCGAGCCAAAAATTATTATTTTGAATAATAATTAATAATAACTCTTACAAATAAATATTATCTTTTTTCGGTGATAATAATTATTTTTTTTTGTATTATTGTATTCTTAAAGCTTAAAAATAATATTTATTGTGTGATTTTTAATAAAAAATTTTTTGTTTTTAAAATTTTGAATTATATTTCTTAAAAATTTCAAAGCGAGTCCAGGCTTTGAGTTTGGAAATGAATATTATTTTTTTTAATTATTTTAAAATATATATTTTATTAAAAAAAAATTACTTTCATATTTAGATTAAATATATTTTTTTATATTTGAATTGAATACTTTCATGTTTTGATTAAATATATTTTCCATAAATTGTATGTTGAATTCAATTATTTATTATTTTTTTTTATTATTTATTATATTATTATCGTATTATATAATATATATTATCTATTTATTTTATATTGTATTTTTATTATATTATATTTTAATTCTATTTATTTTTAAGTGTTTTATATTTAGTCTAAATACGGACCATATTCAAAAGACGTTTATATTTTATAATGTTATAATTAAATTGATATTAAAATATTTTCATATTAAGTTGGTGTTTAATAATATTTGATATATTTAATTTGATAATATGAAAATATTTTCATATTTAGATATACCTTTTCCATATTTATTTAACTCTGTATATTTTGCAAAAACTTAAAATTATATATATTTTTTTTTTAATTTTTTTTTTTTATTAAATATTCTATTATAAGATTCATTTCCAAACCAAGAATATTTTTTTTTAAATTAATTAAATTTCGGTGTACATATATCTTTGTATTAGGCCCCTTTTCTCTCAGTGCAGGGCATAGATTCAATCACTTTTCTCTTGGCGACTGAGCAAAGCTGGCATCTGTGTGACTCCGATTGCACTCCTTTTTTTTCTGGCGTTTTTCCATCGAACCTTAAACTTTTTCATTTTCCATTTTCCATTGTCTCTGAAGCCTGGGCCCCTGCCTTCCTCCCCGAGACCCTCCAACAAAAAAAAAGGTTAGTTTTAATTGTTTAAACAACTTGTCTATTTTTTTTTTGTGTTTTTTTTTGTTGGATCCATTGTTCGCCTTTGACTGCTCTCCTTTTTTGGGGCGTGGCACGGTGGGGGGGGCAAAAGTGAACGCCTTTTAAGTGCACCTGCAGACATGATGCTGCTGATTATATTTTTCTTGGCAAGCGTAACAGCTCGTTAGTATTTTCAAGTGATTTTCATTTAGGAAAATCCAAGTGGAAAGTCCAGCAAAGAAAACGAAGGCCAAGATGAAGGCCCAGACCGAGACCCAGGCCCAGGCCCAGGAAGGAAGTCTACTGGAGACTGGGTACTGGGTACTGGGGCACTGATTTGAAAGGAAACAAACATTTTGCTGGCCAGAGAGAGAGAGAGAGGCGGGCAGTCACTTTTTCCTGGCTCTGGTTTTAGCCCGTCTCCCCGCCTGGCTATTATTTTTTTTTTGAAATTTACGCTTACTTTATTTCAATTGCAATTACATGATGCCATTTCTCCGGTGGTGATGCAACGGCCAAGAGTCGGAGAGAGTGGCATGCCACTCGATGCCATAGAACACGTTTCAATCGCTTTTTAAATACTGGATTTTTTTTTTTGTTCCATTTTTTATATACATATTTTTTATTTGTTTTTTATTTTGTTTGTGGCACAGTTGCAGTTGCATATTCAGATATAGAAGAGAGCTACAAATAAATATTCAGATAGAGATACAGATACAGATACAAATACAGATACAGATACATCTGCATCTGATGCAAATGCATCAGAAAATAAATAAAAATATTTCATATTTTTGCTGGCAGCTCCCATGCCCCCCTCCCCCCCACCCCCCCTCTGCCCCTCTGCCACCTTTTAAAAACTGTTTCAAATGCCGTGTAATATTTTGAGAGCCCGTATATATATATTTTTGTTTTATTGAAATGCACAATCGAATGTGCGGATACTCCCTGACCCCCCCTTGCCCCCCTGCTCCCCTGCCGCCCCCTGCCCCGCCCCATAAATATGTGTGTTTACATTTGCATTGTGCACAATTTTATTATTGATTATTAAAACTTTTGCGGGAGTTTTGAAACAAAGGCCATGCAAATCTCTCTCTCTCTCTCTCTGTTCAAGTGAAAGTCCTAAAACAAAATGCCGGGGCGGGGGAATTGGGAAATAGAAAAGCCCATGACATGGAGGGGGGGAGAAGGCGGTGGGGGTACATGGAGTTTGGATCCTCCAAAACGCTGACTTTGATAAATGACGAGCAGCAGACACCCCTGCCACCCCTTCGCCACCCCCCTGCCATGCACGTGGGTGAAGGGGAGGAGCCCTGCCATGCAGGGGAGAAGGCGTGGACTCTCCCATACAAATACGTGCATTTGTTGGCATTTATTTTCGGGTTTATTGCATCTATCCCCCCCCCCCTCGCAATGCAATATTATACAAAATATTATACAATAACTAAATACCACAAAAGGCAGCTCATATTACAATTTTTGTATTTATTTTATACTTTTTATCCATGCCAGAGTAAAGCATTGTTAGGTTTTTTTATTTCCAAACATTTCAGAGAAAACAATAAATGTTTCATGTCTCTAAAACGGAGTCGGAACGAACGGATGGTCTGGCTGTTTCTTAAACTATTCAAATCTTATCTAAAACTATTTAAAATTGTAGCCAAAAGTAGCTGAAAATTTGGATTTTTATTGTGAGAAAATTCTGCCATAAAAACGTTTCACTTTTAAAGGAAATTCAATATTTTCAAGCCAAAAACTAGCGTTTATATTTGTCTTTCTTTCATTTTGATCAAGAATGCAAAGAATTGAAATAATTGTTGGGCCATGAAGCTATTTGATGGCTATGATATGATATGATGATATGACATGATATGATATTTGAAGCTTTGCTATCTATTTATTTAAAATGTGACGATTAACCGGTTTTATATACGTACGTACAGTGGCTCAAGGCCTAAATGAACCCGAGCACCTTTCACCTTTCACACTTAAAAGTGCTATAACTTCCAAATCATCTAATCTACAACTAAAAATTAAATGTATACTGATAGATACATATATATAGATATATAGATAGATATATATATATACATATAGATTTAACTTTAATCTAAACCAACCTCATATATTTTTCAACATTTTTGTAAACAAAAATACAGTCATTTTTCATTCCACAGCTTATATGAACCGAATTTCTTAAAAATCCTTTTTTTTTGTATTTATTTTATTTTTAAACTAAAAATTTTAGTTTTTTTTAAACCCTTTACAACCTATTCTGAATCGAGTCGACCGATTTTCCTGTGATTTATCACGTAATTTTCCCCCACTCCTCTGAAAGTGCTGTTTTTAAGAAATTTTTTACGTTTTCAGCCAAAAACTCTCAATTTCTTTTACATATATCCATATGTACATATGTATGTGTGAGTATATATTCCTGATCAGCATTCTGTCTATCTGTTCCTTGCCTGGCGAGGGGAAGCGAGATAGCAATATACACACATTCTGCCTGGGTAGCGGGTATTACGACGTTCCTGTTCGTTTCTGGTTGTTGTGTTTGTTGTCCTTGTCCGACAAGTCCTTGAGCGACCAAAGAGATTGGAGATTCCAACAAACACTCAATAGGAATGGAAGCCACTATATCATTGAGCACTCTTTGGGCTGCGGAGGAGCTGCGATCGATAATCCTCTTGGATTCCTGGTAGCCCTCTTCAGTGCTTCAAAACAGGAATGGAGGCCCTCCAAAAGGCTCTCGAATGGTGACTAAATGCTTGAATGACACCCGAATGTTGACGCTTTTTCCAGCCCTATGTCTATGTCTGCAGGGCTGCTCCCACCATCATCTCCCAATGGAGTCTCTAATCCCCCCAAAAACCCTTTGCTGCTGTGCCACATGGGGTATACTTAAAGGAAATTAGCTCCACCGCTAAATGTGCCTTCGGAGACCTCGACGACCGGGGGGGAAAGAGAGTGATAGAGAGAGAGAGAGAGAGCGAGGGAGAGAGAGCTGAAACTACAAAATTAACTATTACATGTTAAGTGCCATA